AAAAAAAGATTTTCCTGCTTAATGGAGTATAGGTTTTAAAAGCATTTCTTTATAATAGTTTAATAGTTGATTTTCTTTGGCATCTGTTGTAATGCTTCCCTGTTAATTTGGGTCACCTCGTTCTTCCTTTTGGTTAAGCAAAGAGTCTGTCAACTGTGGTTATCTCCTAAAGATCCAACTTTTAGATTCATTGATTCTTCATATTGTTTTATTTCTACTTCATTAACTTCTCTGATTTTCACTATATTTTGCTATCTACTGTTTTTGTTGTTTTTAGATGGAGTCTCCCCTAATAGTTCTTGCTGTCTTGGAATTCATTATATAGATCAGGTTGGCTTCCAACTCACAGAGATCTGCCTGACTCTGTCTCCTGAGTGCTGGGATTAAAGGCATGCACCATGACACCTGGCTTCAAGCTGAGTTTGGATTTAATTTTTTCATGGTAGCTCATATATCTTGCATCACCCTTTCCTGTATGGTATTTTTTTCTCATATTATTTGGTTTAGACTCTCTATTTTCAAGCCCTGATAGAATTCTGCTTGGTTCATTCTCCTTGTAAGCCTTTTATGTTTTCCATCTTCATTTCAGACTGAGTCCTCTTCAGTGTTTTTATTTCCTTATTGAATTCTGTTCTCAGGCATTTATTTTCCTTAAGTTCTTTGTCCTTAATTTTACTGAGCTGTTTGTGTCTTTTTTAAATTCTTTGAACTGTTTCTTTGTGTCTTCCTTTATTTCCTGAATTCTTTTTTTTTCAACCTATCTTCCACTATTTCCTGAATTCTTATGTGTCCTGACGTTCAGATGACTAGTTTTCATTGGCAAATATTTTGACAGGACTGGTAGGTTTTAGAGAAGATACTGGCTCAGTCTTTCATATTATTTGTGTTTTTGCAATGATATTGGACATGTGAACTTTTGTTATAAGATTAATATTAATCAGGCAGGTTAGGGCAGGAGAGGATTTGTGGGTGGGTTGTTGGAAATGAGTGAAATAAAGTCAGGTAGACAGAGGGGACTGGGCTGGTGTATAGGATGTGCCTTGTGATCTAAGCCAGAAAGGGTGGGGGTAGAATAGACTGGGTAGAGAAATTGGATGTAGCACAGGCAGGGATGGCAAGCCTAGGCAAAGGCAGGAGCATTGGATGTGAGACCACAGCTAGATTTGGTGGGCTGGGGAGGTTCAGAGAGACTCACAGGTCTAGACCCTGGAAAAAGTTGTAGGAGATCTGGTTAGATGGAGAGGCTGAATGTGGTATGAGAGGGGCCTGGGAGTTGTGACAGACAGGGAAGGCCTTGGCAAAAGTCTAGACTTTTGTTACAGCACAGGCAAGAGTAGCCAAACAAAGCCAGGACAAGGATGTTGGGTTGGACAGGATTCAGGGGAGTGTCAGGGAAATTCACCAGTCTAGACCCTGGAGAAGGATCTAGCTGGGTGGAGAGATTTCTTTGTATTGTGTTATTTTGTTTCATTGACAATCTCAGCCTTGAGTTTGATTATTTTGTCTGATCCACTATTTTTATTGCTCCTCCTTGCTTTTCTAGGGCTTTCGTGTATGTCAGTAAGTTGCTAATGTGAGATCTCTCTAGTTTTTTGTTTGTTTGTTGATGTTGGCACTTAGTGCTGTGTCTCTCATAGGTTTGGGTATATTTTCATTTTCATTCAATTGTAAAATGTTTTTAAATTACTTCTTGATCTGTCATCCAGTTTTCACTCAGTAATGAGTTATTTTTCATTATTTTGTGTACTTTCTGCTGTTTCTGTTGTTGGTATCCAGCCTTAATCTATGGTGGTTAGATAGGAAGCAGGGTGTTACTTCAATTTTCTTATATCTGTTGAAACTTGCTTTGTGTACCAATATGTGGTCAATGAGCTGCTGAGAAGAAAGTATATCGGTTACTGTTTGGATGTAATGTTGTGTAGAAGTCTGTTAGGTCCATTTGTTATGTATTTAACTTTGTTTAGTATTTGCCTGAATAACCTGTTGGTGGGGTCAGGTACTAAAGTCCTCCACCATCACTGAATGAGGGCCAATATGTGATTTTAGCTGTAGTAATGTATTTCTCTTATGAACTTGAGTGCCTTTGTTTGATGCATGTTTAGAATTATAACATCCTCTTGGTGGATTTTTCCTTTAAGGAGTATGTAATGTCCCTCTCCAGATTAGGTTTGAAGTCTACATTGTTGGAGACTAAAATAGCTACATGTATTTGCTTCTTGTATCCATTTTTTAAATAATACCATTTTTCATGATTTTACCCTCAAGTATGTCTTTGATGATGATTCCTGTTAAGACTTTTATGGTATGGAGGTGCCTCATGCCATCTCTGATTTTCTGGTATTATGTATTCCTTGTGTCCTCTTGGGTGTAGTTAATCTCTTCCAACTAAAATTTTCCTCCTAGTGTCTTTTGTAGAGCGGGATCAGTGAATAGAAATTAAATTTGGTGTTATTATCACTTTTTTTTCTGTCAATTGTGATTGATTGGTTTGCTGTACATAGAAGTTTGTGTTGGCATCTGTGGTCTCTCAGAGCTTGTAGCATATCCATCCAGGATCTTCTGGTTTTCAGACTTCATTGAGAAGTCAGGTATTATTCTAAAGGGCCTGTCTTATATGTGACTTGCTCTTTTTCCTTGCAGCCTTTAACACCCTTTCTTTGTTCTGTACATTTAGTGTCTTGACTATGTATCCTAGAGAATTCTTTTTTGGTCCTGTGTATTTGGTGTTCTGTATGCTTCATGTACCTTGATAGACACCCCTTTAGATTCAGAAAGTTTTCTTGTAGTTTTATTAAGAAATACTGTCTGTGCCTTTGACTTGTATTTATTCTCCTTTCTCTATTCCTATTATTCATAGGTTTGGTCCTTTCATGATATCTCAGTTTTCCTCAGTGTTTTGTGCCTAGATATTTTTTAGATTTAATATTTTCTTTGACTAAACCATCCTTCTTCTACTTTGCCTCAAGACCTGGAACTCTCCCTTTCAAGTCTTTTAATTGGTTAGTTAGGCTTACCTGTGAGGTTTTTGTTTGATAGCCTGACTTTTTCATTTCCAGTTCTGGTTTTCTTTGGGGGGTGGTGGTTCTTTAGTGACTATTTTGTTGTTAAATTCTACTGTCACACTATAAATTGCTTACATTACTTCATTCCACTGTTTTCAGTCTTTATTAAGGCATTTACTCAGAGCCTTTTAAGGTCCTTGAACACATTCTTAATTGCTATTCAGAAGTCCTTCTCTTCTGTGTCAAAAGTCAAATTGCTTCTCTTAGGGCTTATTGCAAAATGGTTGCTGGCTTCTGGAGGTGGCTTTTTGTCTTGGTTGTCAATGGTTGTGTTTCTGTACTATTATCTAGGCACCTGGAGTTGACATCTTTAGTATTTCTTAGCATAGATATTTGGTCTTACTTTGTTGAGTTCCATAGGGGATGGAGGAAGGCTAGTGTATTTATAGTTTTCTAAAACTGTCATTTGATCCTTCCAATTCTCCTATGAGAGATGTTAGAAATATTATTTTCATTCTTCACATATAAAAATTTGAGGCAAGAAACTTTAAACAATTTTCTGTTTTCATACTGTGTTGGTACCTGTCCTCAAATGCAAGCACTTTAGTTCAAATCCAAAGTTCTTTCCTGATGTAACATGGCACTTATCCTATCAAGGTATTCATAAATACTTTTAATGTGAATATTGCAGGCTGGTGTCATACAAGCTTTAAAGCATATATCCAAAAGAGTATCTTTGGATGTACTGGCCTAATTCAGCAAAACACACAGTTTATCTGAATTAACAATGTCTGAGGCATCTATTAAAATTAGGTTCTTGAGCTCTACTAAAAAGCTATTGATCTGTCAACCAGAACCTGCATGAAGGCCAAAAATGTCTTTTTACAGGTATCTCTATTTGCATATTAAGTTCAAAATTTTTTAGGTTTATTTACCATTTCTCAACTTTTTTTAAAACAAACCTATTTCACCTAAAGTTCTTACCTAACATTTTAGCAGGTAGTAATTATGTCATAAACTCCCCAAAATATCTTGCTCTTTCCCAACTTATCACTACAGTTTCAATTATCTTTCTCAATTATTTTACAAAATCTATCAGTTCTTAAAAGGCCTCAAATATAGGGAGGAGAGAAATGACTCACTCAGAGGCCAGGAATGCTTCCTGATCTTCCTGAGGATCTGGATTTGCTTCCCACATCCCCACTAGATGCTTCACAACTGCCTGGATTTCACAGACATCTGCACTTACATGATATACACTCACATACATAAAGAGCTTAATCATTAATTTTTCAGTAGCCATCCTCCTCAAATGTTTTAGTACTTTGTCTACATTAACTTAATTATGCTACACTGCACAAAACAAAATTGCCACCTTCAAGCATATCAGCTCTTTCTAAGCAGCAAGAACTGTGGCTGATATATCTAAGTATTCCATTATACAGTATACTAAGTATTTATTATCAATAGAGGCTCCTGAATTTGCTTCCAGTGAATTAGTAATAACAAATTTTAAAATTCAAAGATTAAAGGACTGATGGAAGTCAAATTTCTCAGGTACTACTACTTTTCTACAAAGATACAGGCAAGTGGTGTCTGGCAAACAGCAAGTGTTCTTATTTGCTAGGTGGAAAACGACTAGCATTTGAAGGCAAGGTTTTCTTTGTAATATGCAAAAAAATGTTTCAATATGGTATAAATCCCCACTTTTCAATACAGAATTAGTAGTTAACAGATTTCATGCTAAAGTATTTTTAAAGGTTTTATACTAAACACTTCTTGAGATTTTTGCCATTGGAAGAGGGTTACTGATAATATGAATCGTCTTCAAGGTAAATGAAATTCATTGATATCAGAAGTATTATCAATTATGGCTACTTTAGTCTTAGTATCAGATAAGTGTCTAAAGCAAGCTTCAAACAAAACAATCACAATTACAAAATGACTGTGGTAAATGTTACATGGAAGGGAGGAAGGATATGGTACACAAGACCTGAATAACTTCATAGAATTTCATTTAATAAGTATATTTAAATTCATTTCTCCAAAAGACAGCATTTTAATTACATTCAAATTATATTCACTCTACTAACAAACACATCATTTATTTACAAGGCTAGATATTACAAAACAGATGAAAATTTAAACAAGTTTTATGTTTTAAAAGTCCTTTCAAATTTGGAATCTTGAAAACTTCTACATATACACCTAAAAAAAAGTATACATTATCAGGAAAACTGTAAGTTTTTTGAATAGGAAAAGAAATGTAATACACATACAATGAAGCATAATTCACTTTGGCTCAGGTTACAGGTATGTATCCAAGTGTGTGAGTGAGTGGGTGAATGAGTGTGTGTGTGTGTGCACATGTATGCATTCATATATTATATATTTATCTATATATCACAATTTCTAGTACAGGCAAAAGTCACAGCGGATATCTTAAAGCAATGCACCAATACGTTTTCTCAGAGAAAGTAGAAAAGCTCTCAAGACTTCATGCTGATCCATGATTTTTCAAATCTTTGTTCTCAAATATAGAACCAGACTTTTGTTTTCTTTTCAACTTTAAATTCATTTTATAACAATGACTCAAAGGCCATGAAAAGAACTGTCAGGATTGCTCTATTTAGAGCTCAGTAACACAGACATTTCTATTGTTTCTATCCTGTACTTCTACTCTCTCTAAAAAGTCCGTAAGGAAACCTTTAACCAGTGATAGGAAAGACGTCAAACAGTTACTCTGAGATGGTAAAGAAACATGAGACTTGGCATTCACAGACTTACAACAATAAATGCCCCATTTATATAAAACATAGGAGAGGAACAAAGATTGAAAACTAAATGGAAGAAGACAAAGAATTGTGGTCCTTGTGAGCTTTAGTTTCACAGATAATATAGCAACCAAGCTACCAACAACCGATGAACATTTTTTTAAAAACTTGTATGAGTTTTCATAAATTTTAGTTTTGCTAAACTGTGTTTCTATAGTAAAACAAAGAGGTCATAATGGTAATAATTATGTGAAGGTTGTTTCATGGGAAGAAAAAAAGAATGAGTATACCGTACATTAGCTAAAAGAGTCAGGACCAGGAATAAAATTAAGCACTGGTCTAATCAAAGGCAAAGAGAAACTACCTTTCTTCAGATCTTATCTCATTCTGTAATCAGAGAAAAGTGGCATTCCTTCTGTTTTTTTTTTTCTTTCTATATCTCAGGTTAAAATAACAAAATGAATAGCCCTTATAAATACACTAGTTCTTCAAGAGATAACTTAAACTTTTAGGGTTTTATTATTTCTTTTCTTTCTTCCTTCCTTTCTTTCTTTCTTTTTTTTTTTTTGTTGCTTAATGATAAACCTAAAAGCTGACTCTTCTAGAAGGGTGTTTAGATGTACTGATATATCCATGCCTTTCCCAAATTAAACAGTCAGCAATTAAGAGTTTGGCATCACTGGGAGGTGGTAGCATATGCCTTTAATCCCAGCACTCAGGCGGAGGCAGCAGGCAGATTTCTGAGTTCCAGGCCAGCCTGGTCTACAGAGCTAGTTCCAGGACAGCCAAGGCTACCCAAAGAAATTCTGTCTGGAAAAACAAAAACAAACAAACAAAAAACCCAAACAAACAAACAAATAAACAAAAAAATCCAAAAAGTTTGTCATCATCAACAGAATGTTTTAAAGAAATATTACAAATTAAGTGCTGTTGTATCAAACATCAAAATTGCTATTTTGTACATCAGAAACATATCATTAACATTATATAATCACTGCCTACAATCACTACAAAAATGTAAATGATCTTTTCCTCTAAATGAAAATGATGATTCGGTAGTAACACTCTAAGCTACAGAACCCACTCATGACATACAACACCTCACCAAGGCTTAAACAAGTCAGTGCATTCAGTAGTTACAACAGGAATAATGTTCTTCCACATCCAGGAGTTCTGAAAAAGTTGAAAAAAAAAAAAAAAAAGGTGAATCACTTGAAAGTCATTCCAATGAGAACAAATATTTTGAGTAGTGCCCAAGTCAAATATTGTATAACCTGAATGTCAATGTCAATCAGCTGGAGTTTTTTCTCCCAATGGAAGGCGTTCCCATAACTGGAGCAACTGTTCACCAACCTGAGGCTCTAGCTCCTAGAAAAGTCAAAATTTAAACATTAAAAATAATCTGGGCTGAATATTTTTTAATCATTAAAAGAATATGTGAAAAAAGCACTTTAAATTTCACGTTTAAAAAAATCAGATCACTCTAACCTCAGACAGTACATACTATTTCTAATTCTCTGCTTTTATAGAGTTGACATTTAGATTTGAAATTCTACTTAGGGTGAATCTCTTTCCCTTTTTGTGATGAACTGGCAACAGATTTTCATGTAATGAATTTTGAATTTTGTTTAGATGGAAATCCTGCATTATTTTAAGTGGAGATTCAATAGAAGTGCTTGACTTAAACTTTTAAAGGTTTGAAACCTAGAAGCTTTGAGACTTTCTCCCCAAGAAAGCATCTTGTGACTACATATTCCTACCTTAGAAATTACTTGAATGATACCTCTAAACAGTATATAGAAAGAACTCAAGTTTTTGCTCAGGGTGGTCTGAAGTGAGCCCCTATGCTTCTAATAAATTACTGGATGTAATTTTTGGTAAAATTGACCTCTGAATTTACTTTCTCCCATGTAGACTGGGACCAACAGCTCACTGTACTGTTAGTAAGAACAGATTACATGATGCAGCTAGCACAGTATTCTACCACTATTCATTGATTCTCATCATGTTACTAGCTTAAATGCACAGGGACAGCATCAAAAAAAGCAGAGGAGACAGAATTAAAGCAAGCCACTAGAATTAAAAGGCTACATAATGTGCTTAAACTACAAGGAAGCTGACAGGGCTGTCAGCGTGAGACTTCAGTCACATTACCTCACGATGGTACTCTGCTTTGGTCACATGTCTCATTAATCAGACAACAGAAACCTCCAGGATGTGACTTATGAAAGATTCCATACAGCAAGAAACAAAACTTAACAAAATGTTTTAAAGGATATATACAAGATTTGCAAGCTTTTATACTCTTTATAAGTCAAAACCACTGTTGTTCATGTGTATTTGGTATATGCAATTTATATTTATACATTTTTTCCTTTGAGCAGTAACAACCAAAGAAAACAAAATCAAAAGAATAAACTTAAGATGCCAGTATATACCTGCCCATCTCTGCTTATCTGTACTTTCTTGTTGTCATTCCAAGGATTGAGTAAATGGTGTGCAAACTGAAAGGGTAGGCTTTCTTTGCGTATCCACTCCACTTTAAATACTCCGCCTAGTCCAGCTGATCCCCAGTCCTGGCTCTTCTCCCTTCCTATCTCAGAAGACATCCTAGAGAATCCCTGTATAAAAAAATGAAGGGAAGAGAACGAAGCAAAGATGATATTAAAATATCTATATCTATCCAATAGGGTTAATTACAACTTTTAAAGGAATTTTCAAGAAAAAGATATAATATTAAAATAATGTCAATTTATCAAGAACCAAAAAAAGCTTCTTTATCAAATTTTGGAAGATAAACCAATTCTAGCTTAACATAATGCCAAACATTAATAATTTCTAAATAATGTATCAACAATTCTAAGTCAGCATTTATTATATAAAATAATCATCAAACTTGGAATTTTTATCTTTGAATACTGTAAATATGAAATAATTCACTAGTTTAATTCAATGGTTTGAAAGTTAAGTCAGAGGCTGTTAAGAAACCATCTCAGAGATATAGATGGCTTAA